GCCTAGATATGATTGGCACCTGCTTATCAGGAGCTTACAAACAAGAATATCCCTGTACTTTGTCACCATTGGACCTTGCTTGTTCTCTTGCATCTCACTCAACCCATTTCTGACCCTTTTCAGCTCTGGCAAAAAATTACCTCCAGCCAAACTCATAAAACTGTGAGCCACCCCTACAGTTCTAAAAGGAAAAGAAAAGGCAGCACCTGTCCTTACTTCTGCGTATGCTGCAACACATTTTAAAATTGAGTTGTAATATCTGCACAATTCCTTCCATTTTATTAACTTATTTTGCAATTAATTATATGTGGGTTTACCAGCTCTTGAAGTCAAGAGTTCTGTTTGCATAAGTAAGTTTTGCAGCTGGATCCCTCAGTGTGACAATGGGTGTGCAGTCAGGAGCAAAACCTGCTGTTTTCTAACTAGACCGTAGATATAACCTACTTCTTTGGGGTCAGTACAGATGGAGCAAAGCCCAAAATCTTTTTATCTAAGGTATTAAACTAAAAAAAATCACCTGACAAGTGTGTGTATAAAACAAAGTAATGCACAAACTCCTAGTCTTTCTCAGTGATTTTGTTATCTCTCATATGTATATAATTTATCATATTAAAACTTTCCAACTGATATTGCCCAGTGAAAGTTGGCATATGTGGAAACAAACTGGATGCTATGAAGAACCATGAATAGAATAATTTTCTCTTTCTCCTGCTCTGTTTATGATACATTCCTGCTTGCATTGGCAAGGTCATGTTTGTTGTAAGCCTAGGGAGGCTGGAACCTGAAACAAAGAAGCCATAATGCAGAAATTCTTCCAGAGCTTAATGATAGTCGTTTGTTGCTATGATAAACTAGAGGTACAAAAACTTTTGGATGGAACTGAAAGATATGAAAACTGGAAGGAGAATGAAGAGCTTTTTTTTTTTTTGAAGGGAATAATGTCTGCTTATCTGGGTGGGCTTTTGGTTCTTCGCCTTATATTTTTGATCTTTTTGGCCAAGACAATAAAACTTTATACAGAGTTAAACAAGAAGTGGGGGATCTTACTGCATTATTCCTTGTTATCATTATATTATTAATGTATTTGCATATGTTATTTTTATGATAAAAGAAAGCTAATTTGAAATAACCAGACCTGCTTTCTAATCCTTTGGCTTTGATAAGCAACTATTCAGACTCAAATTAATGGAGGCTAAGAGCTTTCTAAATTTTAAACATTAAGACAGTCAGTAAGCTGATAAATATCTGCCCACAGTTAATTAGTCACTTGACACTTTGTTGACAATTGGTTGGAAAGCAAACTTTTCAGTTACTATTTTGTAGTCACCTGG